TTTAGGGTTTTGGGTTTAGGGTCCCGCCAGGTCCAATTTCCAACCACAACTTGGTTGGCGCGGATGGTTGCCCGAAGCCGAACAAACATCCAATCAAAGACTACCGCGGAGTGAACGAAAAGGTGTGGAAGTTTTGGCTGTCGCGCTATGGCGGAGGTCCCGAGATCAAGCGCCAGAAATTGGAGTTGTACCAGCAGAAGCCACAAGCACCACATCCACCGCCCTCTAAGCTCTCCCCCAAACTCGCACCGGTGGCGACCATGCCTGCCATGGCCCAGCCCCAGCCCCAGCCCCAACCCAAGCCCCAGCCCCAGCCCCAGTCGCAGCCCCCTCCAACCGCCCCAGCACAGCCGTCACAGGCACAAAAGCGAAGCTATGGCCTGGCCTCAACTCAGTCTCTCGCTCCCTCAGCCCCGGCGCCGGCACCTCAGGCTAGGCCCCAGTTCGCAGAGAGGCAGGAGAAGCAGAAGCCAGCCCAGAAGCGCAAGCTCACATGTGATAAGTGCGATGGCAACCACGCCACGGAAGATTGCCCGCACTTCAAGAAGCCAAGAGACCAGCACCCAGATGCATGGAATCTCGTGGGCAAGTCCCACCTGGTGGCTGCTTCCCTGGCAGACCAGAAGTTCGTGACCCGGGGCAGGGTCGTACGCCAGCCCGGAGACTAGGATGTTCAGTAGTATCTTTTTTTTACNNACCCTAAAACCCTAAAAACCTAAAAACCCTAAACCCTAAACCGCTTAGGAGATGGTTCCTGTCTCTTCCATGCCCTGGCCTTCGGCCTTGGAGGGACCACGGCGCGCCACTTGCGCGAGGAGGCGGCGCAGCTCATCGAGAGGCAGCCCCAGCCTCTTAGCTCTCCAATACTGTACCCAACCTGTAGGTTTGGGGTTTAGGGTTCAGGGTTTAGGGTTTAGGGTTTAGGGTTTAGGGTTTAGGTTTAGAGTTTTAGGGTTTAGGGTTTAGAGGCAGCCCCAGCCTCTTAGCAAACAGAGGGATCTATAGGGTTCCTTTCAAAGGATCTATAGGGTTCCTTTAAAAGGATCTATAGGGCTCCTTTAAACGGATCTATAGGGCCCCAGCCTCTTAGCTCTCCAATACTGTACCCAACTTTAGTTTAGGGTGGAACCAATACCACAAAAAAGCAAACAAAGGGATCTATAGGGTTCCTTTCAAAGGATCTATAGGGCTTCAGTCACTTAGCTCTCCAAGACCCAACCTTTATACATTTATTTACCCTAGGGTGTCTATAATATTTGGGATTTTGGGTCTGGGGTTTCGAGTAAGGGGTTTAGTGTTTAGGGTTTAGGTTTTACTTAGTTCTCCAATACCCAACCTTTAAACTTTTTGGGCTCTTAGAGCTTAGTAGTAATCTGAAAGTTGAACCCTTTTATTTCCCTGGCTTGTTGGGGAAGTAAGGTCTAAACCCTAAACCCTAAACCCTAAAAACCCTAAACCGTAAGGTCTCAAATCATTGGCACCGCGCTCCAAGACTGGGTCAAGATGGATTCGGGCCGCACTGTGGCTGGGCTTTGGAGTTCCATACTTTAATACTTTTTTTTGGGGTTTAGGGTTTAGGGTTTAGGGTTGGTTTAAGGTTTAACACTTTTTTGGGGGATCTGTTCCTTAACGGAACCATTATGAAATTAAAGTCTATACTGTTTTCTTTGGGATCTGTTCCTTAAAGGAACCAGTATGAGATAAAAGTCTATCCTTTTTTCTCCCTGGTTACTTCAAAGCCCAGGTGGGGGGCTACGTCAACCAGCTTCGCCGGGGTGCGTGGGGCGGTGGCATTGAATTGGCTGTGCTGGCCAAAAGCCGTAACTAGGATCTTCAGTAGCATCTTTTTTTTTGTGGTATTGGTTCCTAATTCCCTGGGACTCCAAATAGCCCAATGTAGGTACTATTTACAGACTTTAGACCCCTTTGATCACTTGGAGCCCTAGGGAATTAATATAACCCAAACAGGTATGTACTTTTTCCCAGTTGGTTACTGAACAGCTTAGGTAAAGTGATGGTGGAAGTCTATGAAGCCCGAAAGGGTGGCTTTGCCCGCATCGCCAAGTTTGGTGAGGGCAGGAAGGCAGTGCAGGTGCTGTACCAAGGCCGGCTGCACTATGACGCGCTGCTGCTCAACTGAACTTGGGCGAGCCATGCGCAGAATGTAGGGATTTTACAGTACATGTACTCAGGGCCCCTTTCAAAGGCCCTCTCAATTTCCAGAAGTCAGTGTCTCGGTTACGAAGGTATCACGTCTCACGTCACAGGTACTGCGCAGCACCCTGGCAAAAGGTGGGTGCTGTCACTGTTGAGAGCTGGGGGGGAGCTCAACCGTGGCGACTCTGAGCCACTACTAGTACTATCAAAATCATTTATTCGTCAGAATAGGTATTACATTGATCTATTACTACAAGTACTTTTCTTATAACTTATAGGTACAATCATTAGTATTCTGGGGGGCCTTCGCTCGAGCGCAGCCAGGCCAGCGGCTCCCGTCTCTGCTGCCACGTGAACGAGCTCCGCCGGGACTGGAGCTGACGAGTTAGGGTTTAGGGTTTAGGGTTTAGGGTTCTGAATACCCAGAGACTCCAATATCCCTGAATTAAGGAATATATCTTAAATCACAGTAGGATCCTTAGTATGGTTTAAGGTATATTCCTGAATTAAGGGATATTGGAGTCTCTGGGAACCCGAAAGCCTAAACCCTATTTAGGGTTTGAGGGCTTTAGAGTTTGGGATGGCTTGGGCTCTGAGGGTTTAGGGTTTAGGTGTTTAGTGCTTGTAAGGGTTGTCTGACGAAAGTTGGTATATGGGCTTCCACAGCGGAGTAGTAGATATGGATTTGCAGGGGACGGCAGCATGTGAGTCACGCTTCCATCCGAGACAGCGGCACGAGAGTTGAATGGATATAGTATGCAGCTGTCAGCAGTCTTGGTCATGTTTACGAAGCTGTCGGATTGCCGAAATCAGCCTGCTGAAAGCCAAGTGCATAGCCCCTATGCTGCGAGGAGAGCTCGCAAAACCTGCTGGCCCGGGAGGTGCTTGGGAGGGGATGAAGGGGTCGCCCAAAGCCCAAAGCCTGAAGCCTGCTACGGTGTTGGGCTTGTGGAACAAGCCTGAAGCATGTCGCGAGCATCTGTTCGGCTGATGAAGTTGTGAACTGCTGAACGACTTAACCCCAAAAGCCGTTAGCTGTCGCATGGCTCTGACAAGAGGCCAGCGTCACGCAGATGTCTACGACAGAAGGCCCTGCACTCAGAGTGTATCCCAACTTGGAGGGTCGGGAGACTTAGTAAGTAGGTAATAAGTAGACTTAGAAGTACCCTAAAAGGGACCCTAATTGGGGTTATAGTACTTATAAGTCTATAAAATAACCTTTTACTAAGTCCCCCGACCCTCCAAGAACGGAAGGCAGGGTCCCGGACTGGAATTCGGAACATTCTTGGGGTTTGCTGGTTTAGGGTTTAGGGTTTAGGGTTTAGGGTTTAGGGTTTAGGGTTTAGGGTTTAGGGTTTAGGGTTGGTGCATGCTCAAACCCAGAAAATCCTTGAGACCCTAACCCTAAAGCCATCAACCCTAAACCCTCAGCCCTAAACCCTAAAGCCCCAAAGCCCAAAAGACCCAACATCCCTCCTCAAAGCCCTAAAGCCCTAAACCTTAAACCCCAAAAGACCCAACTTCCCCAATTGCAGATACTGAGGCGATGAGGAGGTTGCTGAGGCGCTTGAAGCGGGCAGGATGAAAGAGAGGGTTCAGGATTTTTTGGGTTTGAGGATTCAGGTTTGAGGGTTCAGGGTTTAGAGTGTTCGGATTGAGGTTTTCGGGTTTGAGGGTGTAGGGTTTAGGCTTTGAGGGTTCAGGGTTTGAGGCTTTAGGGTTGAGGGTTTGGGGTTTGAGGGTTCAGGTTTTCGGGTTTGAGGGTTCAGGGTTTACGGCTTGAGGGTTTGAGGGTTTAGGGTTTGAGGGTTTAGGGTTGAAGGTTTTGGTCCAGGGCCCTTAGGGTTTAGGTTTTTGAGGGTCTAGAGTTAATAGGTTTAGGCTTAGATTTAGAGGGGGTCGGAACCATGATGCCATGTTCTGTTGCGCCACGCGTGGGGTCCCCACACGGTTTGTCGACACGGCTGGGAGAACTTGAGAACCCTGAAAACTTGCCAACAATGAGTTAGTATGCTGGACAATGCTGGACATGATGACAGGGTCCTTTGCTTCTCCTCCGCCCAGTTCGGTGAAAACTGCCTGAAGCCCACTAGTCACCTCAACCACACTAAATTTGCAACCCGCATGTAAATAAAGATAGAATAGCTGTCCGACTCGGAGTCTTGCTCATACTCACACGCATACGCCTTTGCATGCTCCTACTCCTACTCCTACTCCTACTCGCACTNNCTATACTCCTGCTCCTGCTCCTGCTGTTGCAGTAGCAGAAGTCGAAGCGGAGCAGGAGGAATAGGAGTAGGAATGGGAAGATTGCCATAACGCTAACCCCGAACCCCTAAATCTTGAGCATGACTACCGGCATAACTCACTAGATTATGCCATGCGATACCATGTCAGCCATACCATACTCTATTCACCATATCATATTATAACATGTCTAGTCTGTTCTCTGGCATGTTAGACCCTAAACCCTAAACCC